GTAAAAGGGGGGCAATTTTTCGCAATTTTTCGGGCACCAAGTAAGCGAGGGGAGTGCGGGAAAGGTGGGCCGATAATGAGACCAGGCAATAATGTATATACTGTACATCCTTGGTCATTAGTAAGCAGGTAACTTGGATACACCCTACTCCGTCCAAGACAAGGAGAAATAATAACCATGTCGAATAGACTATCGAAAGTATGCTGATGAAGAAGGCGTGAGGGTCTCAAGGCTAGATGCCCAAGCAGAAGTGAGGAAACCGTCAGCTGTTCAAGTTGCGCAGAATGGCACGCACGATGATATCCAAAGAGCATCGACCGCTAGAAAATACCCCGAAGCAAACCTTCCACCTCCATTTATAGACTATGTATTATAAGATGTGTACATACATGAAGCAATCCGCGGGCGCGATGGGGGTATTCGAAATTCTGTATCGAACATCGCACCTTACTTACAACTCGTCATAGAGCACAGACAGTGATTCATACCCATTATCCGCGGAGTCTCCCATTACACTTACGTCGGGGACCATTACTGCAATCATAATGCCTGCTCTCCCTCCCGGATCTTCGAGTGACTAAACCAATTTAAACGCCGGACCTGCCCATGGTGATGTGAGACTTTTATTTGGAAGCGGCAGCTTGCGCTGTCGCAGCCGCTGTGCTGTCGGCCAGGAGCTGCTTAACGTTTATCTCGAGGACCATGACGTTGCTTGCCAGTGCTCTCTCCTGTTTCGTTGTTGTTCATCAGCCAAGTTCCCGATTTTGGAAAGCTTCGAAAAGGGAGATACTTACGTAGTATGTCAGATGCTGTCCGTTATATACCGAGCTCTTGCCCGTGATGGCCAGGTTCACCTTGCCGGCAGCATCCAGACTGGCCAGCACCTTCGGCTGGTCGATGATGGCTGTCATGGGCAGCGTGTTTGCGCCGGGACGGAGCACGAAGTCGTTGATAGTCGCGTTGCCAACGACTCCTGCCTCGGCGATGGAGAGATCGAGGGTGACGTTGCCCAGGACGAGGGTCATGAGCGATGGGTTGGGGATTTGCGCGTTGCCGCGCAGGTTTGGCATTCCGGCCTTCGCGGTCAGGTCGAAGAGGAGATCGGTCGTGTTGAAGCCTTTGAGGGAGTTGAGACCTGTTTCCTTGCTTAGCGCCCAATTCTGATGGCTAGGATGAATGACGACGGTAGACGTACCCTTATATGTAGACGTCGAGTTAAACGTAACGGTCTGCACCGGCAGCTTACCCAAGCGCAGCTTCGTCTTGCCTACCAAAGCTGTAGTCACATACTCGTTCTTCATGACAGCAATAGCGTAGGCCGATACCTGGTCGACACTCGAGATTGGAACGTCTGCGTCAATGCTTGAGTTGGTCCTCTTCCTCGCGTGGATAGATGGCATTGGAACAGTCAGCATCTTCTCCGCGCCGTAAGTGCCGTTGGTGACCAGGTAAAGATCGGCAGGGAATGCGTCCAACTTTGGCCTGAAGATGCTCGGGTTGTGAAGTGTTGCTTCCTGGGTGATGCGAATGGAGTTTGATGTTGGGTTGGTAAAGGAGCCTTCGCGGAACTCGAGAGATGAGTCGTCGACACCGTCCTGAGCGATCTTTGGGAATCCGACGTAGACGCTAATGATTATCAAAAGGGAATTTTTTCGATGTCAGAAGATATGACGAAACTTACACGAGCAGCGTCACGATCATGACTATCAGACAAAATACAATCAAATGAATCCACCAGAACCTCGCGCAGTGTCGTTTGGCCTTTTGACCGAATGTCCGCTTCGGTATCACATCCTCTTGTGGCTCTTGTTGCTCGTTACTCTGTTCTTGTGCATGCTTCTCTGTCGAGTTTGGCGACTCGGTCTGGACTAAAGAGGTAGACATGATTCTGTTCTAGATGGCGGGTATATACCGGATGTATGATCATGTACTTGAATCTGGGGAATCTGGGGTAGTGGCGTGATGTATGTTGGAGAGGCGTGGCGAGGAATGTACAAAGAAGGAGCCTACGGTGCGTCAACAATACGGAATCCGGGGAGCATGAACAAAGACGAGAAAAGCCCAAGGAGCAAGGCGGTGGAGGAGATGGACCCTTAATTAACGATTATCCATTCTCGCGTCTCCTGTCCATGGTAAACGGTATAAAGAGCAGGGTCGAGGAGATAGGTAGGTAGTTGATCTGTGCTGCACACCACCATGCCAAGCACAAAGGTGAACATGGTGTTTCCCTCTGGAGGCAAAGCCTTTCTGGTCACATCCCCGAGCAGCGTATGAACCATGGACCGGGAGAACTGGTCTCTTGTGTCTCTAACAGGGATTGTTTTCGGTGCTATTCGCAGGGTTGCACTGTTGCAACGGCCTCGGTAACCAGTATACGGAGTACGTACGTACGTAGTAGTAGCAGTATCACCAAATGACGCTGGAAAAAGCTTGTTGGCGAGGCAATCCTCGGAGCTTGTAAGTACCGTAGCGAACAAGACTGACCATAAGACAATATTCTGCAAGGGATGATGCCTGACGGTGTGGAGGAAACATGGATGGGTAAGGTACCAGTAGTACCTACGTAAGGCCACAGCCACGCATTCAGACGGTATTTCTCGTCATTTGTCGCTGGATAGGGAAGGTAGTATATCAAGTTCGTGATAGTATTTTATTGATTTGTCTTGTCTTGTCAAGGAGACTCCGCAGATAGGCCACTTGGCCAAAGTGATGTCTGATGACCTTTGCTTGTACCACTCACTGGCTCGTCGAGACGAATATGACATCCGGATTTCCCGAGAGCCTTGCCTTTGGGCCGGAATGTCTGTGCCGATGCCGGAAAAAGCATCCCAATTATACGGAAGTAGACTCGAATTTGTTGTACAAGATTTAGGCAGAGCCAACCATTTTCCGTACAGAGCGTTGCAACTCCTTTCCCCAGTTTAAAAAGATCAACGCATGGGTACAGACTTTCTGCACACTGATTATCGACCGACATCCGAGGGTAATGTGGGGATGGGTATTGTCTCTGAAGCTAACGAGAGGCCAATGATAGGAGTTCTGCTTCAGCCGTGGAAATATATACAATTTTCTTCGATCGAGATCTGATTTCCTCAAGACAAGAACCGGGAATAGAAACAAGATGCAAGCATCGCTGACCATCGAGAGTAACAGAGCAATAAAGGTGGATCTGATCTCGGAAGAGAATATACCTGAACAACTTCGAGACAGAAATTCGCATTGCATGATCTCGCCAGTTCGCATAACAGGAGAATTGCAGAAAAACTTCGAGATCGAGCAGTAAGTAGGCCCGTGACTCTCTACCCACATCCATGAGCCGTGTGAGGCGTGGCTGTGGGAGTGGAAGGACATTTTGGACTCCTGAAGCAATATGCATATCATATCATCCACATATATGAAGAACTTGCCCCGATTGAAGCGAGGGGGAAGAAGGTACATTGTAGGAAGAGAGTGTCTCTTATAGCGTTCAAGTTGTTCAAGCCTCGCTGGACAGATCGACACCGCCCGGGCAGAATAATAAGTAAGTAGCGCGAGTATTTTCTCCCCGCCACTACAGACTTCACGGCTCGCTCTGCACCTTTACTACATTCACTATCCCTGCATGAAGACCTCCTACTTCAATGCAATCTGGAGATTGAGTAGGAGAAATGCAATATCCCGACCTCGACTGTTGAGAACAACATTCTCTTCGTCGGCAACCATGGTGCCAACCACGCTTTCCGCCATCACAGCTGTCCCAGCAGCCGGCCAGCAGATCCTCCACGAAGGCAAGGAATACACGACCGTACAGGAAGGATTGGCGTATATCCTTACGCCAGCTTCAGGCCCCGCCGTTCCGCAGACAGCTCCTAAGGGCGACAATCAACAGCAATCTGTGTTTTACAATCCTATTCAGCAATTCAATCGAGACTTGAGTGTTCTGGTGATCAAGGCGTACGGGGAGGCGCTGTTAGAAAAGAAGCAACAGGATGTCGAGAAGCATAAGCAGAGGATTGCTGCGCGAAAGGAGGAGAGAAAGCGGAAGCGGGAAGAGGAGGGGCTGAGTGATGTTTCGAGGAAGGCAAGCAAAGTGGATAATGGATCGCATCCACCAAAGCGAGAGGCTGAACAAGGAGAAGATGGCAATGATACGGTCATGAGGGATACAGAAGCTCTTGCTACCAAAGCGGGAACAACTGCTCCTACGGACGAATCAATCCTGGCCGTCACAGAGAGCCGCGCTGCCCTTCCGACCCCAGAAAATGGAACAGAAGCTCCAAAACCCAAGCCGACAGGAAATGCTCAATCTGCCGAGAGCAAGAAGGATAAATTCACTTTCACAATCCTTGACGCTTTATCTGCCACTGGACTAAGAGCCCTTCGATACGCCCAAGAGATCCCTTTTACCACTTCCATCACGGCGAATGACCTTCTACCGGAAGCTACGAAAACGATTGAATTGAACATCAGACACAACAAATTACAGGGCAAGATAACGGCCGTAACTAGCAATGCCATGGCACATATGTACAGCAAATTGGGCGAGGACTGCAGAGACGAAAAGGGTAGACCTCAGCCCTCCACAAAATACGACGTGATCGACCTAGATCCGTACGGAACAGCGGCCCCGTTCTTGGATGCAGCAGTACAGGCAGTTCGGGACGATGGTGGACTTTTATGTGTGACTTGCACCGATGCTGGAGTCTGGGCATCGAATGGCTACCCGGAGAAGGCTTTCTCGCTGTATGGAGGAACTACGATCAAGGGACCTCAATCGCATGAGGGTGGACTGAGACTTATCTTGCATGCAATTGCAGCCTCCGCAGCACGGTATGGCCTTGCTATGGAACCTTTGCTGTCCCTCTCCATTGACTTCTATGCTCGAGTCTTCGTTCGCATCCATAAGTCACCAGCCGATGTCAAATTTCTGGCTGGTAAGACGATGGTTGTATACAATTGTGATACCGGCTGCGGAGCCTGGACCACGCAGACAGTGGGAAAAAACAAACTGCTGGGGAACAAGAAGGGCGGCGGTCACTACTGGAAGCATGTTTACGGTCAAGGGCCATCAGTTGGCGAAACTTGCCAACATTGCGGATCCAAAACTCACATCGCAGGACCCATGTACGCTGGCCCAATCCATGATCCCGATTTCATCAAGCGGATACTAGATGGGCTGCCAAATGTTTCCAAGGACACATACCACACGACTACGCGGATCGAGGGAATGTTGAACCTCGCCATGGAGGAAAGCTTCCTCGACGTTGAGGATCCTGACTCGCCAACGGCGAAATCGAAAACCGGGAGGTGGGATCCTGCGGCCCTAGATCCTGCCCCGTTTCTATTCATCCCATCCACCCTCTCCAAAGTCATCCACTGCGTCACACCTATCGAAAATGCCGTTCGAGGCGCAATCATCCATCTCGGATACCGCGTCACGAGATCTCACACCAAAGCTGGAAGTCTCAAGACAAATGCGCCCTGGGAGGTCATTTGGGAGATCATGAGAGAGTGGACGAGGCAGAAGGCGCCGATCAAGGAAGGTGCGCTGAGGGAAACCACGGCGGGTTACCGGATTATGCAAATGGGGAAAGCGAAGAAAGCAGACCAGGCTGGGATGGACGGTGATGCGGAGAAAGATGCGCCAGGTGAAAAGAAATTTGAGGTTGTGTTTGACGAGAAGTTGGGGGCGGAGAAGGATAAGAAGAAGCTGGTGAGGTATCAACTGAACCCGAGAGAGAACTGGGGCCCGATGGCGCGAGCGAAAGGCCACACGTAAGAGAAAATGATACCCGATTCGAAGCTTTATTTCTTGTCCCTTATATGACTACAATCAGAGAAGGGAGAAGTAGCCCCAAGTCAAGTGATGGGCTACATACATCACTCACATCTAGTTAGCTCGTTAGCTAGCTGTCCGCGCTATCAACCAATGATGGCAAGTGCCGTATTTGGTCATTGGATCCTCGCTTCTCCTTGCCCGAGTCTCGTTAGCCAAGAATCCCAGGCTGCAGCCTCTAGCGAAGTCAACAAAGGCCCGCGCCAGCGCCGTTCTAAAGGGTAATTGATAGATGTCAACAGCGCAGTAGTTGGTACATGCGACCATAGATTCAAGAGAATTGGGCATCCCGTCCGCTCTGCCACACACAAGCTTGAAATCGGTGGATTAGTAGTTGGGTGGGTGACCACCAGCGAATACCCACTGTTGCATGTATCCCAAAGTTAGTTTTTTGCTACTGCTTTTGCTCTCTAGTGGACGTGTCTTGTCGCTGCAATCATCGAGGGGGGAGGTGGCTGCTTTCAAGAGGTTGTTCCATGCAGACTATATTGTCGGCACCGGCGTTGACACCAGCGTTGACAGCCTGCTTACACAGATAGCGTGCGGGTGTTTCTGTTTTTGTTTTAAAAGGCAGAAGGGGGAGGGACTTTACTTTGAAATGTTTAGCCCAGATCGAATGTAGCCCCCTAGTGCTTGAGCCACGGAAATACCCAACTTGGTCGAGGTTTGATACCATTGGTTTCGTAAGACATGTACTGCATCTCTCAGAAAGTCCCCAGCCAAGCGGGCCGTACTATCAATGCTATATAGATCCCAGAGAAAAGTCATGACTTCACGTATACACATCCTCGTCATCAAGCAGTCGCAGCCCAGGCGCCCTTGACCTTGATCCAGCCCACATACGACATCAAGGCCCCAACAACGCCATCACTCAACATCCCTTTCTCCGAGACCCAGTGCAGACACAACGGCGTATAGGCAACATTGATCAGCGCCGTCTTTGTCCACGCCGCCTCCTCGGCCGCAAACTCCCTCCTCTCCGCATCGCTAACCCCCCGAACCATCGCCCGCTGCTTCCTCGCCAGCCGCAACTGTCTCGCCCGGTACAGGCGCACGTACTCCATCGCCACATACGCCAGGAACAGCCTCATGCTCACGCGGGCCCAGCGCCCAATGTCCTCCCGCGTCCAGCCCTGCAGCACCCCCTTGCCGGCCAGGTAGTACGCGTTCTCGTAGAAGTAGTACAGGCCCAGCGAAAGCGTCTGCGTGCACGTCACGGCGCGCGTCAGCGCGTCACTCGCGGGTTCCAGGTACTGCCTCCTGGCCATGGCGTAGACGCCCAGCAGGCCCCACAGCCGCGTGAAGGTCCGGACATCGGCGCACATGGCGGCGAGGTTCTTTGCGCCCGAGGCGAGGGCGGCGAGCTTGAGGAGAAGGGGGGCATTGGCGTGGGATTTTTGGGAGGAGGGGGAGGTGTTGCGGCGGGAAAGGGCTGGCAGTGCGAGGGACTCGAGCTTGGAGACTTGGGAGCCGACGAGGAAGAGTCCGTAGCCTGAGGGCTGGGTTAGTTGTCGTTATTTAGGGAATAAAGAAAAAATATGTTTATGTATTTATATATATATATATATATGCATGCTTTGGCAGAGATTTGGAGAGGAATTCAGAGGGATGGTAAACTTACCGACGAAGGTCAAGGTCGCATCCACTCCGGAGGAGGTAGACAGTATTTTCGACATCCGCGCTATCCTCTCGTCCATCCCGGAGCTGACCAAGTGCGCTGGCCCACCTGGTAGCGAGGGCTTATCTACCGACATTTTCACTCTACTCTATCTTCCCGGTATACTCGAAGCAGAGGAATCGAATTGAGCTGGTCAGAGGTTGAGGATTGTCGTTGTCTTTCGCAGGGAAGACTGTGGGGAAAGTAGCGCCAACGCGCCCTCTTCTTCGGCCGAGCCGAGGCACAAAAAAGGGGTCCGGATGTAACTCGTAAATATGAGAATGAGCCCCTATTTATGATATCTAAGCTTATAGTTCATTGGCTCTTGTAATCTCTGCACAAACCTATATGATTTAGGACGATATCATCGAATTTTCCGATCTCGATATACTCGGGCGGCCAGCATACCTGTCCCCATGCGTTGATCTTTTTAAACCGGGGAAAGGCTGTAGCGCTCTTTGTGGTTGGCTACGCGTATATTTAGACCATTCGACTCTATACTTAGGACGATTTTCGACGGCAGGACAGATAGTATGCTGGCCGCAGGAGTATCAGATCAGGGGAAGCCTGTATGAATTATAGTGAGGGGAAGGAACTGGAAGGACTTCGATTGAAAAAAGAAAAGAAAAAAATAGAGCCTCCGCTTATGCTGTCTCCCCTCTGACCTCATTATTCGCTTTGAGTCCGAATAATAACCCGGATCAACCTAAATCGCAGTGGCACGAATATCTCCGACTATCACGGAGCCACTAAGATCGACAATCGAGGCACGGGGCTTGCGACCTTGCTTCTTGTCAACTCTATCTACTACGTAGTAGACTACCTACTTTAAGATGTCAGTGAGTGAGTGGGGACTTTTCTTTCGTTTCAGAGCTAGGGAATTTCATGAGAAGCGCAAATTATGTAAGTAGCACCTCGCCTGCGCTTTATTTGTCCCGAAAGCTCTTTTCTACCCCTGATAGTTTCAGATATTTGCCTGGTTTTAATTGCGGTTTTAAACACCCCTCCCCCCCGCGAACATCTGTTCGACAATTTGGCGTGCTTGATACTGCGAAACATCACTTTTTTTGTTCCTTTGTTGGGTAGGAGCCGGGCACGGATAGGGGTTCGGAATCTTCGTAGCCGATAGAACGTATAGTCTGTATCGGGGGTTGTTTGTTGACTGGGTCGCCTGGGCTAAGCGAGTTTATAGGATATCATAATTCTGTCCTCCTTTTTTTTCACCGCCCTGTTCACTGCACTACCTATATGCCCCAGCTGCTAGATCTAGAATGTGCTCCTGACATTCTTTGCTTCGCCTCTTAAAAGCGTAGCAATTGCGGGTTATGTCGTATGGTTGTCGGAAACCATTGTTGGGTACGAAGCGTGCAGGGCACTACCATCCCGCAAGGAAGCTAGATTCGAGCAGAGGGAGTTTCGTTCGAGTTGATGTTCCGGAAAGCACTGCTGATGTCCCGGAAGGCAATGTTGACTTATTCAAGGTTACTGAGACCTGGGGAGTATGGGATGAGGAAATGGGTTAGGGCACTGATCGATGTCTTCCAGTAACTTATTGAGACTTGACCAGGGCAGGGCCCTATTGAATCCCTGGGAATGTGGGAGTGATATGGCGGTACTACAGTCAAAATAAGGCGGCGAGGAAAGAAACTTCTCGTATAAACGGATGTAGCGAAACAATGGATCATGGCCCAGCTGCATTATTGATTAGGCATTCGCAACCCCCCCCCCTTCAAACTGTCCGTGGGGGATAATAACGCGGGGTCATTCCAAACGAACTGTTCCAAAATTTTATATCATATTTACGTGTGAGTGATGTAAGAGGGATTAGAGCACTGTGATTTGGCGTCATAAGGAGTAAAGGTCAGAATTCGGGCAACATCTCGTCACCAACGCGGCCTGTCTGTACATGTGTGCAGAGCCCGGCCTGCTGCGGTCTCCTGCCACGATGTCCACCCTGGGCTTAGAAATAACGTTGACTGAACATATGAAGTCTTGGGACCCTGGAAAAATCATGAAGTATTGATATTCTAATGTATTTACATAACTAAAAATGTGCGAAGCCTAGTAACCTGGAATACTCTAGCTCACCAGCTTTGTTTCAGACAATCAAGCTATTAAACGGTCCCGGATGGCTAATGGAAAATCGCAAACCAAGGGTTCGCCTTGATCTGACAATATCTTCCCATTTAAGCTCATGACTGTCCGTTGCAAGCCAAAGGGTACATTGATATGAAGAAGCCCACAGAGTCCACCGGATTTGGTAAGCGAGCGCGCGCACGCGGAAAGAGAATAAAGAACGCCACGTAAATACCACCTTAATAGTAACAGTAAGCTTGGGAGGCAAGAGCTTCATTACTTCCTCTCGTTCTATGGATTTTCAGCTCATAATATCTGTGTTCAAATTTAGCGTTACGGAAGGATATCTGGGATTCGAGCCATGATTTTTTCCATAGATCCTCTGGTAGGAGGCTACGATTCTTTACATGTACGAGGTGTCTCCAACGAACCTTCAGCTCTTTCTTGCGGTAAAGAGTCTAGAAAGTGGAAATTAGATCATTCATGTGCGGCGACTCCTCGAAGGGGGTTTTTTTTTTCTTTGCCAGTGGTTCCAGACCTCCCTCTTATCTCGACTATTACGCCGATTACGATCTGTACCGAACCGGGATATCGGTTGAAAAGATGAAGAGATGTTGCGATAAGAAGGGAACGGGTGTAAGCGATAGGAAAGGCTTAATTCGATCGATCGAAAACACACGGTATTGCGCCTTCTTTTCTTGGTCAAAGAACACACGACCGCCTACTCCTCCGAGTACTCAGCCCGAAGCACTCGACTTCGTCAAGTCTCTTTTCGACACTCCGTCGGATTTCCAAGCGTTCTTGGCGACGACGGAGTTTTACTTTCAATACTACACCCAGTAGTGTTTCTGCTGCTGCTCGCAACTGGCTAATCGTAGAGAGAGAGCTGACGCTCCGCTCTACATAGTCTGCGGGCCCCCACGCTAGCTCCAATATGCTTATACGCCGTGCTATCGTTTGAGTGTAATACTTATACGTAACACGACGTAGTAAGATAGTATACGATAGATTGTGTGTGATAGTTGGCGTTGATTAAGAGTCTTTTGCTTATTTGTTTTGTTTCTTTGCGTCTTTGCTCTTGGTCCCCGGACCTTCACTTGGCTGACTTCGATCCGGCCTTAACTCACGTCGCTTTGCGACTCGCAACTGCCAGGCTCTTAAGCCTGCGGTAGCATGCACTTGCCTTGCTTTTTGGTTTTCCATCTTATCAAGAGTCTCTTTTTTTGTGGTCAATCTTATCCGTAAAAGAAAAGCGCAATTGATAGAAGCTACGCTGCACCACCTTGAAATGCTTTTGGCCGTCTTGTATGTAATTCCTTAGTTTAGTACGTGAAAGTGCCCTATGGGAGGTCCTAGGGCGGCAGGCTTCGCCTGCTACCCACTCGACGTAGATCAATACTGCTAGATACTATTACTACTACTACGGTATTGAGCCTTCGCTAAAAGCACTTTGCAAATACACCGACTCGGTATAAGAGCTACGATTGCGAGCCTTTATAGCTTTACGATAATAACGAGAAAGATGTTCGTATTTCTACGAACCGAAGCCGCCCGTAAGGTTCTGCGTATCTGATAGTTATCGAGAGACAATTCGATGCAAATTTTTTGAAATGCTTTTAAAGAGTTCATAAAGAGTCTGCGATACCGCGAGATCAAACACCCGAGGCTATTTGAAAGAGCGCTTTTCTTTGATGTGGTTTTACTTTGATTGAATAGTATTTCATATACAAATCCTTTACTTAGCACATCGCCGTACCGGTACCTTATAAGCGGTCCTAGGGTCTGAGCAGTGCGTTTTGGAAACCCGCCCGACGTAAATAAATACCGGTACTCGCCTGTGCCGCCCTTCCCCTTACTCCCCCACATGCCAGGCGATTACTATTACTACTAAGTATTATTATATATTTAAACTCTATTAGATTTGGCACGTTGACCAGACGGACCTACCAGTACGTTCACGCGGGGGCAACCACTGGCTGGGTAGCATGAGCTTTGTTCCAGCGCTCAGAAAGAAGCCCACCATCAAGCTGATATCAGGTCCTGGAGTTGGATTGATCGTTCCGCTGGGATAATCGATTTCTCAGTAGCAGCAGTGCTTTCCTGGGATTATTGATGAGCGGGTAGTACCTCCGTAAAAACACGGGATTCCTATAGAGTTTGCGCCGGATAAATCAATTCAAGCTTAGCCCTGCAATGTCGGTGTCGCACAGAGGAGCTTTCGGACTTTGAAATATTTTATATAAAACAAAACCCATATTCTACGAGCACACTCCGACAAATAATCGTGACGGGAGTTGAGTCGAGTCTGCTGCGCGATAGGCCACAAGGAAGCCCGTCCTTTATGTTCATTATTATTCGATCATGTCGTTACGCTTAAAATGATCAACACCACTGCAAAGTCAAAAAAGTGAAGCAATCGAGCTGCGGACTCCAAATTTTGATTTCATGGCTCTCGCCTCTTCACTGTCAGACAAACTGCACCCCAGAAATCTTAATGAAATTGCAGGCCCAGCGCCTTGTCGCTGAGCAACATTCGCATGCGCACTTTTTTATCGGTTCACATCGACAAGCTTTGCAATGGTATCGAATAGGGGCCTCATTCAGGCCCCCCGGCGGTAATCTAGACTTGTATCAAGACTTGAAAAGGTTTGCATGATCCACATCTTCCCTTTCGTTCCTACTCGGATCTATCCTATCTCTGAATTCTTTTTAGTCTCGCCTACATCCATCATCAATATCAACACTACAACTTTCTTGAAGCTTGCTTGCGCAACAGTCTTTATCTCGCTTATTTTCAATGCGTTGTTTGGGGTACGTCGCTGCTGCAGCAGTCTACCTGGCTACTGGCACCATGGCTGTGTTTGTCCTGGACCCTCCATCAGCCGCCGTCTTGAAAAGACAGAATGGCGACGAATCTCCTGTCTTGAAAAGAGAGTACGCAGCTGTCCCTCTTCCATGCTCGTCAGTACCAGGCCACTCTACGACGCACTTGACGACCACCATGGCTGCTACAACCACTGTATACCACGCGATCACCGTCTACCGTACCCGCACAGTCTCCAGGTCGAGGTCCAAGTCGACTGCTAGCTCAAGCTCAATATACGCACTGGCGTCAAAGCCGACTACATATCCAACCTCCTTAACTACTTCAACTCCGTGCCATTCATCCTCCTCCAAAACCACTTCAACTCCACGCCCTTCATCCTCCTCCTTAACTACTTCAACTCCGTCCCCTTCATCCTCACCCTCACCTACTCTATCATCAACATATGTCCCGTCCCCAGTGCCAACCTACACCCCATCCAACACTACATCGAAGCCTCCTCCGGTGGGAGGTTTCTCGACTGGAGTTATTACGTATCCTCGAAACGTCACGTAAGCTCCTCTCGCATCACTTGCCAAACTTCAATGTACTGACAATAGCTCTAGCGTTCCATCACCAACATCAACTCCTTTGGTCTTCAGTAGTGCCGGATCTACTCTGCAAGCCTCTGCCCTCATCACCGGACTCGTCAGCTTAACGGCTTTGTTACTGATCTAGGAACACCCCGCTGTTTACCCCCAATCCACCTCTGGCGAGATCTGGCTTTTTTTTGGCGCTTTTCTGGGGATGGGGAGTTTTGGGAATTTCGCTTCTATCGGCAACTGAAAATTCGTAGCAGTAAACTTTCAATACCCAGGAGGGAAATCGAGGCATTTGGATGGGATCGGCGTCACTGCAAGGGGGAAACTCTTCTTGTATATATTTATATAAATTTAGCGGCAGCGACTTGAGACAAGCGCCGAAGGACAAATGCTATTGTAGGAACAACATCAAACGAGACGTGAATCACCATTTTTATTTCTGTCCTTCTATTCTCAGACTTGTCCTTGATTTTGAGGGAGCGTACATATCCCGTTGCTTACTGGCTAGGTACTCGTGCGGTCAGTAAGTAATGTTGTTCCCATGTCGCGAATCATCCCAAGTAGAAAGTCAAACTTGCCAAATCTAGGCGCAGCCAACCATACAGAGCGTTGCGCTTCCTTTCCCCAGTTTAAAAAGATCAACGCATGGAAACATACTTGCTGGCCGCACAAGTACCGGTATCGTAGTGAACATCACTGGAGACGGCAACTGGGATGCTACTCAGGGGCACAGTATATGCGCAGGATATTTTTATTTATTCTCTTTTTTTAAATTTTTTTTTACATGAGACTCAACCTTAAATTACATACATCACTGTATCATCCTCATCATCATCCTCATCACTATCATCATCAGTCTACAGTCTAAAGGGCATGATTTCTGCGACTTCAAAGTCCGGGGTGCCTACATGACTACAAATTTATCGCCGTCCTAAATGCGATGTAGACCCGGCTGTACATAGACTTCAATTGCCATATACGTATACGGATACCTTTCATAAATAAAAAGGGGGAAGTTGGGGGTGGGAGGCATAAACGAACCAATCACAGTTCTCCTTCGCGGCAGGATTCAAACTAACCATACTTATATTTAACAACTAAGTTTTCAGGCATCGAATCAAGCATCAAGCTCGACTCTTCAGCCCGCATGGCACAGTGGTAATGCGTCTCACTCGTAAGTCAACACGATGAACACGCACATGAGAAGATCCGCGGTTCAATTCCGCGTGTGGGCAGGTACTTGTCTCTTTGTTTTTTTTGTCCAACACCGAGCGGATTAATGGAGCCCGGGGATGATGATGATGATGTTTGTTGTTTGGTTGGGTGGGTTGTGATTGTTGTCGGCTTTTCGGGTTATCGTTTTCCATGGTATTTTTTCGCCCAAGGCGATGCAATTGAATGAATAGAGGAAATATTCGGCGCTTCTTTTGATATGTATATATACTGGACTCGCGCTGAGAACAAACGTTCTTGGCATATACAAATCGCTAACAACTCGGAGATCCAATGACCTATCCTCGAACTCGGTTCACGTGATATTGATATATATGCGTGGCTCCAAACTTTCCATCTCATGAAGTTGATTGTCTGTGTCCACCTACCCACCTACCTACCTATGCTGTTCAAGAATCAGCTCCGAACAGAAAAGATGTCGGCAGTGTTTTTGATTACACCCGGGACATTGTAGAAACACACAACTCTGGTAACTCCTTCGGCATTCGCCTATCGAGCAATGTCCATACTCAACCGTCAGCTGCATCGCGACAACGTGGTTCATTACCAGCAGAGATGTTTTATTTCCAGCCTTAAGGCCAGTGAAATTCACTTCCCTGTCGATAATTAGTATACCTACACTCACGACTTCATTCGAGGGTCAATGGGGAGTTGCAATCCGCCGTAGCGGTTGGGCTGGAATTCTCGCTATCTACCGACTGCCCTTTACCCCATGTCCTGTGCCAAAAGTGTTTGGTGACATCTAGACCCCGAGACTTTCGATATGTAAGTTATCTGCTCTCTGCTCTCTGCTCATCAACCTAGTGACTGTCCCCCCGTGACAGCAATGACCAGACTTCCCTTCCTCGCAACCTTCAACAATCATTGCCATATTCCTCGCAATGATCGTACCGAGCCTCGTCCCGATTGCGTTGCTCCAGGCAGCCCAGCTTCGACAGTATGGTACTGACAGCCCACTCCGCCGTCTCCTTCGTCGTGGCGTCGACGACGGGTTGGATGGAGATATCTTCTTCCAGGAACCCCCGAATCTCCCGATTATCCAGTAACCAGCGGTGCGTCTGCGCAAAGCTTGGCCAGGCAATCTGATCAAAGTATCCCTCACTACGCCACATCTGGCCGGGTATCCGCTCACCAGCCGGAGCATCAATGTACATTGGTCGGTGCATGCGTCTGTTCTTGGCCGTGGGCTCGCTGACACTCAGGAACAACTTGAGATCGAACAGTCCTTGCATATAGTGCTTGGCGCGGCGGAGGGTAGTAGCAAGCTGGGCTTCGATAACTTCACGGGCTGCCTCAATCTGCTCAGCGGTATCGACAGTGTGCCCCTTCTTAAGGTCCCGTAGGTAAGAACATATGCGGTCCGTGTAGCTCGAGACCTTCACCTTCTCGGCCTCGACGTTGAAATCAAATGGTCCCTCCTCGTCTACAGCATCGGGGGAGGCGAAAAGTAGGAAGCCCTCGACGAAAGCGAAGCCAGGACGGAGACTGGCCTTGCCATTACCAATGCCTTCATTCTCAATAGGACCCTTGATGAAGTAACCGCCAAATCGAGCCTCGGCGTTGAGAATTGCTTGCTCCTTGGCGAAGCCAGCGACTTTCTCGCGCAGCTTTGCGATTAGGGCCGTACAATCTTCCAAATCTACCTCGGACGAGAAGCGCTTCAAGTAATTGTTGGGTTTGCCGGTCTCCTTGATTTCTAGGATAGTGCTGACTAATCCTGCGAAATCGATGCTGAAGTCAACATCAGAGTTGGGGCCTGACACTTCGAGGACTGGGTAGCCCCCGCCTTCGTTTCCGGTGGATGGGAGGGTTGATGCTGAAGAGGTTGAGCCCTGTTCACCAGCTTTGACATCGCTGTCTAAGAGATGACCTGGGACTGGGGCCCGAGTGCTGTCGTTCACGGCATACTGTAGTAGCCAATAGTCAGTATCCTCGTTGCGAGCGGCCACTGAGATTCAGCCCGAAGAGTACTTGGTCAGGTGAGATGCGGAGGGGACACGTACCAAGCCCGAATGATTCTTCATGCTGTTCTGCACAAACAGGGTGTCAGTCAGACTTTGCGCATTGGTGAAGCTGCATTTTAGCTGGATTTTCTTGTCCAGCAGGAAGTCGTCTTGAGAGACTACAGTGGCCTTCTTCTCAATACTGGCGGCAGCCTTGGCCCCCTCGATTTCTTCAATGTGTTCAAGCTTGAAAGAGCCATCTTGACCCAAGGTACCAGCGTTCTTCATGTTCAGATCGATCTCACCAAGAGGACCAAATGAATCAGCGGTAGCAGGAGGATTCGTGAACACCTCGCTCAATATGAGTGCCAGACTGGACTTGCCAGAGCTTGTACATCCTCCAATCGCGACCACGAAGGTTTTGTCCTTGGTAGGGTCGAACAGCTCGACGAAGGAGGACGGCCTATTGCTAATGATGCAAGAGACTTCGGACCGATGGGGTTCGGGAATAGCATTCTCGTGCACGAGGACGACGTTACTATCTGGGGAATTTGGTTGACCACGAGGGTTGTCAGTTGTGGAAAGAGAGGAGACTCGCTCAGATTGGGCCTCCATTTGAGAGCTCATCTTGTTTAGTTGTTTTTGTGACGAAGTTGGACTGCTGTTAGAATCGTATTGCTATCAAGAGTGTTGGTGGAGGAAGGGTTGCTGTTGGGGTGTTGTCATTGGGGTAGAGGGTAGAAGTATAGTCTCCCAATCAAGCGCGTCGCGCTTGTATTGAGGCAGACGCGCAAAGTGAATTTGAAGACGCTGGCGGCTTTCGGAAGCGGGTAACGCTTACCCTGATCTATCTGGTTCGCTGAGATATTTAGATATCATCATAGAACCAGAGAGAAGGATATATCTTTCAGGAAACCAGTAAAGTGAATTTGTAACCACAGGACTTATCCAGTATTCACTTTCATGGAAGTCCTACAAGACACCTCACACCCCCAAGACCAGATATGGGTTTTAAAGACTTTATAGACAAAGAAAAGTGAATATAATATCGCAAGCACCCTAAGCTCGTACCGAGCAGCTGATTGAGGCTCAATGAATAAGCAAACGCCCACACTTGAGAGAATCGGACACCCGATCTATTCCACAAGCGATGGAAACATGCCAGTGCAGCTTCTAGCTGTCAATCCGTCGTCATTTTGGTCGATGTTCTCTCCCGTTTTCTTCTTCCAAATGCTCTCACTATCCCTAGTGATTCCGAGCAGTCGTGAGTATAACTCATCAGACAGATTGACTGCCCAGTTAAGGCGTCATCTGAGAAATCTTTACGCAAATATTACGGGTGAATACTATTTTTACCATCAATGAATGGAATTCTAAGCAAGATTTTGACTTTGAAGAAAGATGTCAATGGGCGAGAGACCTCTAGCTTGTTAGGATCTTTATTTCCCTTATTTCTTTTCTCGTCCCATGATTTCCCTTATGCTCAGCTTGCACATATAAGAAGCTTGATCAACCTCTGCCTCTTCCAGAAGTTTGACAAGAACTAACAGCTTCAGATTCGCAGCATGGTGTAGTACGTTTGGCTTTTGGACGGAATGTTAGTGACTAACAGCTGGTGGAATTGCGCCAAGGAAAGGAGAAACTGGAAAAAGAGGAGAGAGAGAAAGAGCCTGAGAGCGGGCCTTTATTTTTCCAACTATCTCTAGGCTTCTCTGAAGTTCTGATTTACGGAGTGGGAGGAAGTATTTCTCAGCTGCAGTGCTTGTGGTATCGTATACATTGCTGTTGCTCTATACGATATTAGAATCTCAAGTGCCTTCAGACACAGCCAGGGCGCTAGCACTTGAAGATTCGCGGTCTCTCAATCCTTTTGAATACCTAACTTGATCGCGGACACAAATATTTCTATAGTAGTCAGTGGGTTGCCTCTTAACCTGCGGCCATGAAGAATGCGCGTTAGCTCGTCGCACTTCGCTATCTATTGAAAGTGAAAGGATTTGCTTTGCGCAGCTCCGTGGCATTCTTCTACTCTGCACATTCTTTTGGAGAATGCTTCGAAATATATACTATTATGAATTATTGTCCATGTAAACAATTGTCAATGACCCCTAGCCTGGCGAGAAGCCCGCATATTCATTCACCAATACCTATAAAAGGGCCTCGAGCTACATAAAGATCGCAGTACTTCGGAAGTGCTTTCACACTACTCAATCTTCAACCTAGCCTTAACGGAAATTCGAAGGTCTGCTCAAAAAGGTATCCACGTCCCTCAATTTACCAGAGGGTAGAGCACATGGGAGGAGTTAAATTTACCGTGGAATGGAGAAGATACGAGTGAAGAGAAAATGGTAACATCGACAATGGAAATATAACAGCAACAATATCACTAACATCCGTCTCGCTGTCAGTGCCTGGATGGTAGCAGTATATCATACTTGCTGCCAATTACAAACCTATTATAACAACTCCGAACTCTGGTGAGAGATACTTTTCAAGAGCAGGTAAAATCTCTGGGAATCCTAACCCCCATTATGTCAGGGAACAGTCTGTTGGTTTCCTTATCTACTACTAGTAGACGCATAAAATGTTCGGTTTCGGGAGTAAGAAGCGTATTGCCGACCTCATCCGTAGACGTAAATTTGATCCTGTCTTTGCAATACTTATTAATAAAGCTCTCCACGCGCCAGCCAGCATGATGTCCGTTTAGTATAAAAGACAGAACACATTCAATATCTGATAGACCAAATACGTATTCATCTTGGCTTTTTATCATAAATTCAACAATGCATATTATAGCTCTTCACGAGGCTTGTGCATTATCAATCACGGAATCTCCTGCAGTTGTGAGTTGTGAGTCGTCTAAATTCTAGAGCCAAGCCAATTTAGCGAGATACTTTCCTCCTACCTAGCGTGAAAAGCCCTGTAGCCAAATCTTTAGTAATTGGAGTTGACCTCGCAAATTTTTCGGGCCATGATATATTTTTTCATCGATAAGTTTGACAATGGTCTGAGAAGTGGCAGCAACTACTGCACTTATCAAAGCACCTTCAAGTATAAGTCTGGCAGTCAATAGAGGCCTGCAGTTAATGTACCTTCTTAGCGCCGGATCTTGGAGTCTTGGATGATAAACAAAATAAGCCACCGAACCCAAATACAGTGCCTCTGCCTACTTTGCATTGCCATTGTATTCCAAAGCTTGATTTATAGTAAAGGATACCAGTCTTATATACTTTTTCTCGCTTTCAACTTTTTCCCAGTCAAAGTCACTTCACTGCGTGCCTTCTTTCTTCTTTCAGTATCCAAGTCTTGGCGGGGGTTTTCGGCAGCTTATAAAAAAGTGACCAGTGCGAAACTCTAACTCGTGAAAGTACTGGAATCAACTGTGGGAGAGAGTTGAAGGAAGGTAACTGAGCATACCAGGTACATATATACGAAGAAGGTAATCAGTTTCGATTACTGATTTCAGTAAATTCGATTTCCTCAAAATATAATCTATCTATATGATACGATAAATTATAAAAGGTTGAACGTGTGACTGAAGCCAACTTTTGATAGCAGTGTATAACGTGACAGTAAGCGTGAAACATAAAATAAGCATTCTGCTTTGAATTAAGAGGCAGAATTCCTATACAGCATATGCTGTTTCTTGCTTCACAGTGCTTTCTTTCGAGCAGCGATGATCCAAGAACCCAAACCCTGTCGTCAGTTCCAGACGTGTATTTGCATCTCACTATGACGAACCGCGGATGCGTTTCGAAAATAACTCTCTAGCAGGTTTAAGTATCATCTACAAAGGCAACGATGAGCTTCTTTCTTGTTCCTGTAATTCTTCTCCTCGCGTTGGCATAGTCCTGTTTTCCGTAAAGGTATTTCTGGATCTTAGTCATCACTATTCCCAAGCAAGATTCATCTATCAATTCAAGCCAAGTCTTTCCATATCTTTGATAAGTATCACAGCCTCGATAAATAAAAAACTCTTCTTACTATTCTCGTATTTTCGATCAGAGAAAGCCTGTGGCAACGTTCGGCAAAATGAACAAGATCAGCTTTCCAGCTGTCCCGAAACCGTAGCCCGCGGATATATAGTTCGGACTAAGCTCTTACTCGGGGGACTAGACTACTAGTAAGCTGAGTAAACGCAGGACATGGTCCTGGAGAAACCCTTAGCGAGAAGAGAAAGTAAACAAGTTACAATGGCATAAGGCTGTGACAGCAGCATCCTTCTGCCATCTCCCCGCTAAATAATACCATCTTCAGGCTAGATATAGAAGAAAACAGCGTTTGATGCGCAAGCATTTTAAAATCTCGATAACGATAGGTGAAGGTAGGTAAGTAAACAAACAAGTACTAGGCGACTAACACTCACCCACACACTTGATCCCATAGAGCTTGGATGATCACGTATTAACTTCGCGGCTGAGAGAAACAGATTGAGCAAGTAAGCTGTTATATGTATACCTTTGGTTATCCCCGTCGAAACCCTGGCTTGCTAGTTTTGGATATCTCTTCACCCGCGTGGATTCAATTTCGAGGAATCCGAGCACGGACTTGACTCTACTTCACATCCTTGCTGAGGGGGATTATTAGGTCTACGAAGAAGACAATTCGGAGTCTGTAAATGCTTACGCGGGTGAATATTACAAGATTTGGAGGAGGTAGGATCCTAGTAAACACATCGGATGGTAATTGTTATGACAGTGTGTTTAGACAGCGTGGTTTATTGACCGGAAGGATAGTAAAAGCTACCATCTATACACACCAGGGGATTGAGTACGAAGGTGAAGAGGGCAGAGTGATCCACCGTACGTGAGGCATTGTACACGTTTCCAAATGTTTGCTCTTGCGTCAATCAATCACTCAAAAGTGCTTTATGTTCAACACATATGCATTACTTACTTAGCTAATTCCGCATCGAAAATAATTCTAAGTGTTCAGGCATCACACCTCAAACCTCCTCCTTAACCTTCTCATCCAACATCCTCGCCATCATTGTCTCCTCATCCTCTTCTTCAGCCTTCACACCAACCGAGGCCTCAACGTCCTCCCTAGTGATCATCCCCTTTCCCAGCCCCCACCTTTCAATCTCCCTCCTGGCCACCCTCTCCAAACTCCCCATCCCCACAACCAAGAACCCCAACTCCTCCCTCTCGCAATCAAACACCTCCCACCACTCCACCTCCGGCAGCCTGACCCCCTCCTCCCTACAGGCCAGGTAAACAGCCGCCGTCGCCAACGCACAGGGTTGATGCGTGAGATACAGCATCTGTGGGCTTAGCAGTGCTGTATTCAGCCACGCGATCGCCCTCTTCGCTACTCGTGACCCAGTTTTAGGGGAGGTGAAAATGTCGAGGGTTTGGAGGTAGGTGATGGCGAGAGAGTGCGGCAGCGCGACGTGTGTTGTGAAGCCGATCGCATTGAGGATCTGGCCTTCGATGAGCAGGAGGCGGGTGCGGTAGGTGATGTAGGCGGATTCGGAGAGGTAGTAGGAGGCAGGATCGTCCTTGGGCGGTGCTGACGTTGGTGAAGAGGAGAGGGGTGAAGAGGGCGAGAGTAAGAAGGCGTAGACGTTGGTTATGCTGCGCAAGGAGCGAGGTGAGGCGGAGATTTTGGCCGTCAAGTAGAGGGTTGCTGCTGAGACGTCCTGTGTCCATATCGTTAGCATCATATCTTCTATTTTAGCCTTGTTCTGGCTCCTAGGAAAGTTGAGGCGCTGGGGGGAACGTACACTGAACTCCCACTCCATCAACCTATCGACAGCCCAGTAGCGGAACAATAGAACGTTGGCCTGCGCAGTTATGTCTTGCGGCATGCGGAGGAGGATACCGGCTGCTTGTGTGAGGCGCGCAGTGTAGAAGCGGATGCTGTCCTGGATCTCGAGGGGGAGCGCGGAGGGATTAGAGGCCGATTGCGCGTAGAGCTGGGAAGTTGTTGCGAGCGGATTGGAGAGGTGCGACATCCTGCTTGTCGTATTTTAGTAGCATGGGCGAATTTGGGGATAGTTGAGGAGAATAGAGAGTTGGCGTGTTGATGGCCAAGATATTTTGCTGGAAAGCCTTGGGCGCAAGGCTGCTGCTATTACTGAGTAAGGACTGTACTTCGTCAGCCTTGTTGACTTCCACTTCCGAGAGAAGATACATTGGACACTTCAGGGGAGATTTCAAAGAAGTCCTCTGACAGACCAGGAGAGTTCAGAGCATAGTTTAAAATGTGTTTTTAAATTCTACTGCAGAGAGAGAATCTCCATGGGTATCGCCCAGTTTTCCCTATCATCTCGGTAGTCGTACAAAAAGTAGTAGATCCTTCCCATCTACAGCTTGCAGCATCAGCGCTGTAAAACTCCAGCAACACAAATCGTGTTATTTGGCCCTCAGCGACGTCCACCATAGTCCCGGCGGTCGTCCCGTCTATCATCTCTTCTATCGCCCCGTCTATAGTCTACACCCCATCTGTCGCCGCCTCTGCTACCACCACCCCCACCTCGGTACGAATCGTAGCCTCGACCACCACCTCTGAAAGGCGGCGGATAACTTCCTCTGGTCTGGAATCCACCGGCAGCGCCACCCCTTGGCCCAAAGCCACTGGGACCACGAAATCCAGGGGGAGGCCGGATGCCAGTGAACATCTCTGGACCCCGGTCGACAACAGTATCCTCCTCGAAAGTATATCGATTGAAGTCTCCTTGCAAAGGGCGCCCTGCAGCCCCATCCTTCGACAGTGCCTTGTCAATGCTATCTAGCCGCCTATTGGCAACGTTCTTCGAAACAGGTTGCCAGTACAGCACCGGCTTAGAAGTTGTGCGGTTGAACAGGGCATCCACTCTCTCTCTCCCAGTCGAAAACGCGGTAGCTTGGCCACGATTGCGCATGGGCGAGGTGGGTACGTTAAATCTTCGATCTGCATGAATTCCATGAGGGGAGGAGTGGGCTGCTGAAGGCTGGCGAGCAGACTGGCTTGGTCGGGGGATACTGCCGGCTTCTTGTAGTGTGGCTTTGACAACCTGGTGCTCATCCTTCTCGTAGACAACCTCCCATTTCTTGCCTCCGCGTCCTCCGCTCTGCTCCAGCTCGACCCATTGCTCTATGCTCTCAGCAGGAACGAAGTCAACCCACAGCGGCTTCCGGGTTTTCTCGTCAGGCCAGATGCGGTCGTGGAGCGCGGAGCGGACTCGTGCTGCGGCAGAGACTTTCTCGAAGGTAACGAACGCATGGGTACGGATGGGATCAATGTAGAAATCTGTGATCACTTGGGGATCATCGTCGTGACCGGGAGGAGCTGCGAGGCGCGACAAATGGGAGTGGAGTGAGGCTGGATTGAGGGGTCGCATGAAGTCACGGATGTAGAGCGCAGGAGTCGCAGGATGGGTGGCCGGGGCAACATATCGCTCCGGTTCGAGCTCCTCTGATTCCCGGATGTCGCCCATGGCTGCTGTTGTTGTTGCCGTCGTTGTGGCGAAGAGGTTTTTATATCGAGAGTCGCGACGCGAGGTTGAATGGTCGAGCGCACCTTCCGCCTCTGGGGAGTCTGCCATGTCAATGTCCATGTCCATTTCCACATTCCCACTTTGTTCGACTCCGACGTCGTGCTTCAATTCCTCCTTCGCATCTTCCTTCATATCCTCCGGCTTGTTATCTGCGGATCCGGACCCGGAGTCCAATCCTTCGGCTGCGAACTTCACGCCCTCTTCTTCCACCGCATGCTGCTCGACCAATCCGCCATCGCTATGCACAGAAGCAGCTTTAATCTCGTCGTCAGGTCGGAATCGCTTTCGTGCGGAGTCGGTCGCGGAAGGAGGGGGGCTTTGCGATCGTCGTTTGCGCTTCTTCTGATCTTCGTTTGCTTCCTTGGGCTCAACAGAGGGGAGGGCAGACGAATGGGCTTCGTGGCCGGGTGGCGACTTGCTCTCTGGTTCCTCCTGAGCCTGGGAGGTGTCTCCTGTCTCGTTTTTCGCCGGAGTCGAAGTCTCGACAACCTCTGGCTCCGTTTGAAGAGGAGCATCCGGAAGACCATCTGCAGAGGCAACTACAGGGGAGATGGTATCCGGGGATGTCGCAGGGCCAGAGCTGTTTTCCAAAGCCTGCAGCGTGGCCTCACTTTCAGAGGCTTCCTCGTTCTCTGCCTCTGCCAATCGAGCGACGAGCGCGGGTTTGAGACCAGTTTGAGACAGACCTCTCTGCTTGAGCTCAGCTCGCAGGTCAACGACCTTTAGTTTTTGCCAGTCAGTCATGATACTTTGGTCGTGGTGATGTTGGAGCCAATGTGCATTTTCCAATGAGCGTGGGTGGGTTATCGTCAGGCGGGAGGTGTGTCGCGCTGCTATTCAGATCCACGGGAGTTGGTTGTTCCTAAATCCCGACGCGTCACGTCAAGCATCTACCGATACGGTATACTATACTTCTTGCCTCGAATATGAGGCAGAATAAGAGATCCAGTCAGAAAGGGGATTTTCCCTCTACATTCATCAAATTGAGAGCGAAGCTACTCGCAACCCAAAGAAGAACTCTTACAAAGGGGCAAAGTGCGAAGCTTCCGAGGTTGAGATATTTTCAAATCGCCCGTCAGGTCCACCCATCAAGTCATATTCGCTCTCGAATCGGGAAGTAATAAACCGAACAATACCTACGCAGAAACTACAAGACATTACGGCCGCGCATTAGCAGTCAATATTGTATATATATCCGCTTGACGAAACACCATTCTCGGGCCATCAGATATTGCCGCCCAGAGCCCACGACTCGAGATCAACTTGCATGGGTAGGCACGTGGTAACCTTACTTCCTCGGCAAGCAGCGTGGCGAAAGGCCAAGCTGCATCCATCTTCTCGTCTATGTCAAGTGTCAAGGCTGCGGAGCTTCACCCAACAACAGCACAACATACACATACACATACACTACAAAATTTTGCATCATGTCTGGTTTAAGGATATTGGTGCCCGTAAAGAGGGTCATCGATTATGCGGTTTGTTTCCCAATCGTCCCAATTGGCAGAGCGTCGAAGCCCTGTGCCTCCTTCCTCCCAATCCACCTCCTCCAGCTCTAGATCTCCTCTCTTCCACCCAGCAGAACTCCCAACCATAGCGTTACTCGAGCTGACATCCGCACTTATAGGTCAAGCCCCGAGTAAACAAAGCCCAAACGGCCGTCGAGACGGCTGGCGTAAAACACAGTATGAACCCCTTCGACGAGCTCTCAATCGAGGAGTCGGTCCGTATCCGCGAGAAGAAGCGGTACGCGCATGGCGTGGACGACATCGTTGCATTCTCGTGCGGCCCGCCGAAAGCGCAAGACGTGCTGCGCACCGCGATGGCGATGGGGGCCGATCGGGGGATCCATGTTGAGGTCAAAGAGGGGGAAGAGCCTGAGCCTTTGGGGATTGCTAAGGTGCGTTTGTCCGTTGCAGGGGAACGGGGATGAGAATTGCGAAGAAATAAGGAGTGAGGGGGTGGATGGAGAGGTGGAACGTGGCAGGAAGTGGCGAGTTACAGAAGTCGGGCTGATTCTCTCAGATGCTCAAAGCCGTCGTCGACCGCGAGAAAATCAACCTTGTCTTTCTCGGCAAGCAATCCATCGACGATGACGCCGGCCAGACAGGACAGATGCTCGCTGGCCTCTTGGGATGGGGACAAGCGACGCAAGCGTCAAAAATCACATTCGAGGCTGACGGCAAGGGGATCATGGTGGAAAAGGAGGTAGATGGGGGTACGGAGACGGTTAAGGGGGTGCTGCCGATGGTGGTGACGAGCGACTTGCGGCTAAACGAGCCGCGGTATGCGAGTCTGCCGAATATCATGAAGGCGAAGAAGAAGAAGATTGAAAAAGTTACGAGTGGTGATTTGGGCGTTGATGTGGGAAGGAGGTTGAAGACGATTAAGGTTATTGGTAGGTTTGAGGCTCTCTTTCGGCAAGTTCTGGATGTGGTGGCAGTGGCAGTGGCGTGGAATTGTGGGGGATGTGGAGGAAGAGGGGCCTTTTGCTAACGAACGTAAACAGAACCTCCGCCAAGACAAGGAGGTGGCAAAGTTGAGGACGTTGATGGTATGATTGCGAAGCTCAAGGAACTAGGCGCCCTATAGGCGTTGTACCGTATGGAAGAGGGCGTTTGCGCACGATTAAGGGCAGGGTGAATGCATCGGCTGGAACAAGTCTTCTCCCGTCGGGCAAAGCAGAACGAACATGCCTTGTTGGGGTCTGCCGAGGTCAGAACCAACGGCCTTGGTTGAACTAACAGGTATGGCAGCAGCTCGTGCAGCAACAGGACGTACTACGTTTGGACCATGGCTGGGTGGAATTGGAGTGCCAAGTTTCATCTCACAAGCATCTGTGGATATACAGCTTTGACTTCGCGGATTGCCGGTCGAATACAAAGCTGTGTATGCTGCCATGGCTCATTGTACATCATTGGTTCTTTGGTTTTGGCTGAGCACAGAGTAGTAGTCCGGTATGGTGTTGATATACGGATATTAGATTGCAACAACGGAGTCGCAATGACTATTGTCTGTCATCCATCTCTGCGACTCCCTAGACGTCCGTCCTGCCAATAATCAGTTAATCACACCCCCCTGAATTCAAGGTCACCGAGTCATCCCAGGCACGAGAAGTCTCTCCAGCATGCTCCGTACTCCGTACTCCGTACATGAGCCGATTAAAAGCACACCAGGCGTGGATGCATCATTATAATCTTTTCTTTGTGCCCGTCTTTATTCTCCAGCACGTGAGTCGGATTCGCTAGAGACACGCCGGCTAATCTCCTCCGCCATTGACTCTGCCAACCCAACCCAAGCCAGAGTAAAAATTCTTCATCTTCCACCAACCCTCTCCACTTTCGAGCAAATCCTATCCGCTGCATTGGCAACCAATTCACTTCTCCATCTCCGTCTCCATCTCCATCTCCATCTCCATCTCCATCTCCATCTCCAACCTTGAACAAACACACCAAGCCCTCAACCTCTCCCAACAGCAGCAGAACGTTGCGCGTATGACTGGGCGCCCGTCAGTCTTCACGTCTCAGGTACGTGATATTCTTTTCTCTTCCCCGTCCTACAAGCATAGGTCGGTGGTAGCCCGGTCTGGAACACCCCCCACAAGCCAACCCAGTCCAGAGAGAGATGCCCATGATTTCCTCTCTCCCTCTCGTATCCTGGCATCAGCTTTTCAATTTTCTACTTCTTGCCTCGTGCTGACTAGCTTTGCTATTCAGGATTATATCTCAGGTCCGCCTCAAAACTTCATTCCATGCCCCTTCCCGATCCTCTTCGCTCACCGCCAACTAACCCAACTCAACCCCATCCCGCAGATCACATCTGGAAAGCTTCGGTGAACTGAGCAGACCACAAACTTCTTGCAAACCACAAACCTTCGGCACACCAGCCGATACCACCTCCCAATTCACCTACCTACCTTCCAACACACACATTTACGAACAAACATGCTTGCCCGCTTCATGAGACCCGCGGCCTTGAAGCCGGCGGCCGGGATCCAACGTCTGGCCCAACAGGTCCGGTTTATGGCTACGGTCGAGGGAAGTGCTGGCCGTGCTATGCCGGTCACTCGCCCAAGAGCGACGCCCATCTCGCACGACCGAGCAACCTTCACAGTCAGGGTACGAATTTGTTGACAGCTATGAGGTAGTAACTGGCTGATTTTTCTTCTTTTCAGGATGGTCCCGTTTTCCACGGCAAGTCCTTCGGCGCCAAGTCCAACATCTCAGGCGAAGCCGTCTTCACCACCTCTCTCGTGGGCTACCCCGAATCTATGACCGACCCCTCCTACCGTGGCCAGATCCTCGTCTTCACTCAGCCACTGATCGGCAATTATGGCGTTCCCTCCTCTGCACGCGACGAGCACGGCTTGCTCAAGTACTTCGAGTCCCCCAACATACAGTGCGTCGGTATCGTCGTGGCCGATTACGCCGAGAGGTATTCGCACTGGACTGCCGTCGAGAGCTTAAGCGAGTGGTGTGCCCGCGAAGGCGTACCTGCCATTTCTGGCGTTGACACCCGTGCCATCGTCACCCACTTGCGCGACGTCGGATCGTCGCTCGCCAGGATCACGATTGGCGAAGAGTATGACGCTGACCAGGACGAAGCCTTCATTGATCCCGAGCAGATCAACTTGGTGAAGAAGGTCAGCACCAAGGCCCCCTTCCACGTGTCGTCTCACAGCGGCGATATGCACGTTGCAGTCATCGATTGCGGTGTTAAAGAGAACATCCTCCGTTCGCTCGTGAACCGCGGAGCCAGTGTTACGGTCTTCCCATACGATTACCCTATCCATAAGGTTGCTCATCACTTCGATGGAGTGTTCATATCTAACGGCCCCGGTGATCCTACCCATTGCCAAGAGACAGTCTACCACTTGAGCCGCCTAATGGAGACCAGCCAAGTCCCTATCTTTGGTATCTGTCTCGGTCACCAATTGTTGGCACTTGCGGCTGGAGGCAGAACTATCAAGCTGAAGTACGGAAACCGTGCTCATAACATCCCCGCGCTGGACTTGACGACCGGCCAATGCCACATCACGAGTCAGAACCATGGGTATGCTGTCGACACGCCGACTTTGCCCGCAGAGTTTAAAGAGTACTTTGTTAACTTGAACGACGGCTCTAACGAGGGTATGCATCCACCTCCATCCTCATAATCAATCACTAATGTACCTGCGCAGGCATGATCCACAAAACTCGCCCCATCTTCTCCACCCAATTCCACCCAGAAGCCAAGGGTGGCCCCATGGACTCCTCCTACCTCTTCGACATGTACATCGAGAACGTTCAGCGCTACAAGAACAACCAGGCCGTGTATCCCGCCGCCGGCAAGGACAACCGTCCAAGCCCGCTACTGGTAGATATCCTGGCGAAGGAGCGCGTGGGTGTGCAGCCGGCGCAGCCAGCGGAGAATCTGGCGCAGGCGAAGGCGAGCATGGTTGCCGCCGCTGCTTAAATGGAACGAAACTGGGGATGGGGAGGCGGAGAACGGCAAGGGCGAAACGAAAGGAACAATTGGACCTGAGAGGCGTTTGGCGGGCTGCTTCTTTTTGCAATGGAATTTTTAAAGGTGCTCTTGAAAAAGGGGAAACGGCGGGATGGTTGAAATGACACAAGCAAAATAGGAATGGATCTTGAAATTATCTTCTAAATTCTAATCCTTTTTCAATCAAAATAGGATGAAGCTTCTACTTCATCGTACGCATTTTTAAAATCAGATTCAACACTACAAATTTCCCGACGTCGAATCAGAGTCGGGTTTCCTGCTCCCTTCCGCGCACCGGCCACCCAAGTGGTTCCTCATACACTTTCCCAATGCAACGACACCTTCGTCACAGATCAGTTAAGCGAGGCATAAACAAACATGGGCCAAACCGCAGAAGGCCGAATTCGTAATTCGCCAATCGCGAATTTCAAGCTCCAAGACAACGCTATCTACGCTGAGATGAGATGAGAATGAGTTATGCTTTTTCCAAACCAAACGAAACCCTTCAACTCCTTCCCTTTCCCTATCCCCTATCCCCTTTGCCCTTTCCCTAAGAACGAAGCAACGATCAATTTTTTGCCACAGAAATATATATACGAAGTTGACGTCGTTTCTTTCGTAATTCATTCATGAATGGTTCGTGCGGGTTAGTAATTGGAACTTCGTCAGTTAGTAGGTAACCACCGCCTTCTTCGCCCCGGTCGATCCGTCCTTTCATCTCATCTCATCCCGCCTTGCCCTATCTGATTCACAAGAGCGGATACTCCTCCTTCCTATTCCATCCCTTACATTATCCTTCTTCTCCTCCCACCCATCTACTCACCTATCTATCTATCTATCTATCTATCTATCTATCTATCTATCTATCTATCTATTCTGCTCAAACTAACCGCTGTTACCACCACTACCACCACCACCACCACTCGAATTACCACCATCCCCCCCATCAAACCCCCCAATCCCCTCGAAAAACCCACCCGCCGCACTGCTCCCTACGAAAGCCCCTCCTCTCCCTACACTACCGCTGCCACTACCGCTGGCGCCGCTGCCGCCACTGCCCCTTGCCTGCGACCCTGCAGGAGGTGGTGGTCCCATACCCGCCCCGCCACTCTGGAACATGTGCTGCCACGGCTCGTCAAAGTGCCCGTGCACGCTGCCGATGCTGCCGAACATCTGCACGGCTGTGCTTTGATCAAGCGGGTTACTGGCCTGGTAGCCTTTGACCATCAGGGGCTGCTGCTGCTGTTGGTGGTGTTGTGGGTTTTGATGCATTTGCAAGTGGAGATCGAAGCTTGCAGCTGCTGGGCCCCAGGGTGGAGCTGGGAATGATGTCTGTGCTGGGTCGGGATACTGCGTTTGGAGTTGGGTTGGGGTTTGGCTTGCGTGCTGTGGCCCGTAGTGGGTGCCGGGCAAGGCCGGGGACGAAGGAGGAGGCTGAGGTTGGTAGGCAGTCTGGCTGTGCGACGCGTGCGGTTGCCACCGGCGCCAGTTGTAGCCGGGGGGGATGGGAGCCGTGGTCGGCAGGTCGTAGACGGACCAGTGGATCTTGGGCGCCACGAGGCGGATCAGCGAGTCGAAGATCTCCCACGCTTTGCGTGCGGAGATGGACTCGCCGGCCATCATCACGAGCCACCGTATGCCTTTCTTTGCGTCGTCGAGGATCTCTGCCGCTTCGCCGGGGAGGTGCTGAGCTTGGTAGGCGAGTTCGAGCATCAGGACCGAGAGCGCCTCGCAGATGTAGTGGAGCGTGTGCCACCAGGGCGTGATGGCGTAGAGTTTCTCGACGCTGCGGGCAGACCAGCCGATCAGGTTGATCATTGTGCGCGCGGAGCGGATGCACATCTCGACCGACACCTGGCTGAACTGCTTGCTCTTCTCGCTCTGGCTTGTAATGCGGCCTTCGAAGCGGCAGAGGCAGGGACGGAAGAGAATCATGCGCGAGCTGTTGTACAGCATCGCGAGCCCCATACGTGAGAGGACATGTGGGTCGTTCCAGTCGGGCTCATCGTAGCGGTCAAAAGTGAGGGAGAACTCGGGAGGCAAACTATCCGACCAGGCACTCAGGCGAGAGTCGATGCGATGGATAGTCTCTTGCACCTCGACCCATTTTTCTTTGATCGTCGCGGCGCAGTAGAGCTGAGTTACGATCTCGTGGGAGATGATGGCGAGTTGAGTGCGGTAGATGAAGTAGGTCGACGTGGTTGCTGGGAGGGAGAGGACAGGGAAGTTGTAGGCCAGGGGTTGAGCGATGCCCGCCGGCATCTGATAGGTTGCCGAGGCGCGGCCTGCTGCATAAGTGAGTGAGTTAGTGGATCCGGGAAAGGACATGGAGACCTACGTCTCGATTCCCGGGATACGGAGCTGTGTGAGCCGCGCCGACTGCTTCGTGGTCTATCGCCTGGTCTCTCATACAAAGACTGCCCCGGCCGCAGATCGTCTTCGTCTATATTAACTGGCAGCGGTGTGCTGATGTCTCTGTCCGAGATGCAGCTTGGTCTCCCGGTGAGTTCGTTCAAGAGGCATTCCAAGGAGTACAGCGACCACCAGAGACGGACGCGATACTCCTTATCGAAATCGGACAGGGTCTCAGCCTCACTTCTGACGTGCAGGCCTAAAGTCAGTGCGTGCCGTATTGCAAGGCCACCGATGGCCCAAGCTCTGAGAGAAGTCCTGTCAGTAGATGAGCTACGGTCTATAGAGACAGCCGTACCTGTTAAGCCCGCCGGTGGTGATAAAGTACAGACATAGCAAGCCGAGAGCCGAAGTCGTATGGACTCTCGCATCCTCGTACAGCAGCCCTTGATCCAGACAAAGCATCTTGGCTCTCGCGAGATAGATCCGATGATCAAAATAATGGCCTCGACTCCGACTACGTGTGAGGTGAGCGTAGACGGCACTGATGGCAAAGATCATGTTCAGGGTCCCGAGCCACAGTATCTCTTCGACCTGAAGGTCGGTCGAGCCTCGCACAAACATGTTATATCTCGCCATGAAGCTGACCTTCTCCACGATCGGGAATGCCCTGTGGATAGTGTCGAAATACGACTGGACCAGGGCATCGGCCAGCTCGGGTTCCGGCCAGTCAAAATATCGGATGCTACCAGTATCAAAGTACTCCACGTCTGGGTCTTCGGTGTGATACGAGGCGGAAACGAATCCAGACGGCTCATCCCCAAGAGGGGATCGTGGATCTGCGGTGGGACCACACTCATCCACGGTGCGTTTTGTCCACGCCACGGACGACGATTTCCCCATATATCCGGTGGCTCGGGTGTCGTCCTGATCGGGATTGACATTGATCACATCGAGTGAGCCGGTGGAGCCCACTTCGGCATCAAGGTCTTCATTGCCGCTGATCCCATCGTCTCCTGGATCGGAGGAAGGTCGACTCCTACTCCGGGCTGGCTCCCCATCGCCGTCGTTCTCTGGCGTTACCGGAGCCGGTGCCTTTGGAGATCAGCCGAACCCAGCATACACTTCTCGCCATACGGACGTACTTACCATGGTCAGCACATGATCGATTGCCGCTCTCATGTCTTCCATCGACAGCGAGGTATCAAGTCGAATGCGACGGAGGGCCTCGGTTACATCCAAAGCATGCTGGTTGAGAGATATGGTCTTCTTGCTCAACTTGGTCAATCGTCTGCATATACCTCATCAGTCTGGGTGTTGCCACTGGGACGACTCGCAAGCACACTTCTTATCCTTGTCTCTCTTTCCATCACCATAAACACACGGGACGTTGGCATTTCGGCATCTGGTACACGGATCGCCGCCGGTACAGCCCGCTTTAGCTCTCCGACAAAAGTCGCATGCATGGGCCGTCCTTCCTTTCTTGAGGGAAGACTTGGAATCCGCGAGCCGGGGGTTCTTCAGCGCTGGGATGGCAACCTTTCCGGGCGGTGGTGGTGCCTGCGCCCGCGTGCTTGCATCACGAGTCGGGCTCGCCGACGCACTCTCGTATGGAAGATTCGGTAGGCTCGGTCGGGAAGCTGAAGGGCTGTTGTTGATCGGGGCGAATCCGGCAGGTCGGGTGGCGTCTGGAGGCGAGTCCCTGGGACGTTTTCCGCGACCACGGCCACGCTGCTCTTGCCGCGGCGGCATCTGGATGAGAGCGAGCGCGAAGAGATGCTCGTATCGTCGTAGGCTGTGAAGTGTCAGGTAGGAGCGTGCCGGCCTTGGGGGTCTGATCCAAGCTGATCAGTTATACTTGGTGTGAAGTGAATAGGTATGAAAGGGCGTCGGGCGTCGGGCGGCGGGCGCAGAAGACTGCAATGTTCGTTGCCCATTCGCAGGCAATGCTTCTCTGCTTGCTGGCTGGCTTGCTTGCTTGCTTTACACGAGTGGTGAGTCTTGGGCCTTGAGTCTTGAGTCTTGAGTCTTGAGTCTTGAGTCTGGAGTAGTGAGTGGGGAGTGGGGAGTGGGGAGTGAAGTTGACGAGACGGAGAGACTGCTCTCAAGTGAAGTGGGGGAATCCCTCTTCTCTCGAGCTGTTGCCTCGCCTTACCATCGCATGGCCGACTCTTTTGCCCGCCTACCTACCTCCTGACTGACTGACTGACTGACTGACTGACTGACTGACTGAAGGTACTGACGGTACTGTACTGTACTGTACGGTACTGTACTGTACTATACTATACTATACTGTACTATACTATACTATACTATACTTACCTGCTCTCTTGGGATTCGATGGCGGTCCTGTCTGTCGTCAGTGGACCGGAATTGAGCTCCGGGATGGGGATTGGGATCGGAATTGGCATCGGATTGACAAAGGATTGGGACGGCGAGACAGGTCTAGGCAGGGCTCGGCATGGGCATGGGCCTGGACCTGGACATGGGCATGGCATGGCATGGCATTCTGTCTGAGTTTGACCCCGCGGAGATGTTACCAACCGCATGTCGTACGCCGGAGGTATCACCGCCGTCGGTCCAATGGATGCCAAATGAAAATGCCCATGGTGGAACGCCATCGGATTTGCAGGAGAGCACGAGGGCAACACGTCACCGACAGGAGACGGACTGGCGAGGATGGATGGATGGATGGATGGATGGATGGATGGATGGATGGATGGATGGATGGATGGATGGATGGATGGATGGATGGATGGATGGATGGATGAATAGATAGAGGGATGAATACCTAGATGGGTGGATAGATGGAATGGATAGACAGGTAGAGAGAGTGAGAGAAATCGATGGATGGTGGGATGGATGGAAACTGACACTAACTAGCGGCCTCTTTCTCTTTGGACTTCACGTGTTCACTAGGGGCTCGCTTATGACTTCTCCAGGGCTTAGCCCCGGATGTCAGCTCCTCCCCATCGAGCTCAAGCTCAAGCTCAAGCTCAACCTCAACCTCAACCTCAACCTCGACACCCCGACGTCCACAACTGCTACAGTAACAGCCAACGGCCAACGACCTTCATCTACCCGTGTTAATTGCAAGAGCATCAATCAATACCTACCTACCTACCTACCTACCTACCTACCTACCCACCTACCTACCCACTTACCTACTTACTCCATGATCGAGATGCTAATTCTATTCCCAATGCATGAATGCCCGTCTGCATGTCCGCCCCGGCCGACCGCGATGGCTGCCCGGAGATATCTCCGTAGCCAATGAATGGCGCGTGCCGACGGCCCCGGCCCCGTTGCAGCGGCTGTGAGAACTTGGAAATCCCTTACTGACCAACCAACCGCACTTGGGGAAAAGCCAGGCCGAAAAGCCACGGGCTCTGCGACAAACCCAACGTGGAAAAATCATGGCGTGCTTGCTCCCAGGAAAAAACCTAAACACGAAGTCATCCTCCGCTTTCGATTCTTTATTCTCCATTCATCGTCGGAATGGTGGAAACCAAATTACGCTCCATACAAGGCGGCAGGCAGCCACGGCGTGCAAAGCGATGCCGCCGCCGGCCTAGATGGGATCGCGCCGTCGGCCCGAGGAGATCGAAGTATTGTAGAGGTGCCGTACCTATTTGAAGCATCCATCAAGCTTTGCCATCTGAACGACTATTTTTCTCCGTCACTTCGCTTTCCCAATCTTGGGAGATGGCCCTCATCGGAATCTGTTCAATTGTATCTCATCACTGGCGTCGAATACTTAGATCAGCTTCTCATCATCGCCTGCGGGCAATTACTTCGTTTGTCTGGCTATGCATCTATGTACGTGCGCTCCAACTCCCTCCACATCCAAAAGGCTTACAGATAGAACAGACATTTCCCTTCAACTATTTCCCGTCTCTCCGTGCTTTTCCGCCTCTTGCTCTTCTTGCCTGCTGCTACCTTTCCTTATCGCTGACTTGAACCTCTTCCCCGAGTGAATTCCTCGATCCCGGCTGCGTGAAAGCCCCGCAGGACAGCTCTCCATTTCCGAAAGGGAGGAGCCAACCTGTTGTGGCTGGTGAACAGCAAATGAGATGGAGTGGGGTGAGGAACGAAGCTATCGGCATCGTTTTTTTTTGGGGTGGGGGGGGGGGGGGGGGAGTGCTAGGCCCGGCCGCGGGAGCTGGGTCTAGCATGGGCTCAAGAGTGCTACAACTACGTAGAAAGAACATGCCGGACTTTTACCATCGCGGCGACATTGATACGACTGCGCCCCCGAGCCCCCTGATCCACTCGCTTAAAAATCCAGTGAATGCAATCAATGCATGCAACCAATGCATGCAATCTGCATGTACGGTATACTGGATAATGGAAGCAGCAGAGAGCAAAACATGAAAAGGGTTCGAGGGCTTGTTGCATCTCCAAGCTAGCCGCTATGCCTCGGCTGAGCTGATACCTGTTGTTCTCCGTATGATACCGGTATCTCTTCGATGCCCAGGGGCCATGGGCCACGGCCCGTCTGGTGATCCAGATGACAGACACACGTCTCATCTGGAAAGCTTATCAGGCTCGGCTAACGTCAGGAAACGAGAAGACGTACGACTACCATACGACTACGACTACGACTACGACTACGACTACGACTACGACTACGACTACGACTACGACTACGACTACGACTACGACTACGACTAGCACTACCACTACGACTACCACTACGACTACCACTACCACTACGACTTATTTCCGACTCGAGTCTCCTCCGTTTCCGTTTCGAGAGGGGGAGGAGCAGCAAGCTAACAGGAAGAGTTGAGTGACACTGACGTGATGGCGTCCATTCCTCCCCAGCCCGGCTTGGGAGGTAGGTAGCGAGTGAGTTTGCGTGCCAAAACCGCCTCTTCTGGTTCGGGGCTTGTCTATGTGATTGGATCGTTTGTGCTGATTCCTGATTCATGATACATGATTCATGTTGTTGTGGATGCCTATCGGCTAATAACGTAGACGAAGATGTACGGAGTAGAGATAAGGTCCAAGGAAGTAGGAAAGTAAACATGCCAGGATGTTGTTGATGAGTATATGTTGTGTATGGTAAAGATGACCACGGACAGGTAAGTGTGCACCATTGCATGGCATGTACTATAGATACCGATAATAGTGGGCCTTGACGTCGCAACTTTTGGGGCCCTTCCCTAAAGTGGGCGAAAAAATTATGTCCCGCGAAAAAATTATGTCCCGCTTCAACGCCAAAAATCGCGAGGAACGTAGACACTTATATTGCTCATAACATTGCTCACAACGTTGTAATAATATATATATATATATATTTAATAATGTTATTCATTCTCAATTAAGCTACGAAAAAATTATTTTACCGCGTGTCCCTTGAATTGAATTAAGAGATGCTACAGATCGAATCGATATCGAATCTTCTTTCTCTTCAAGCTCTTTTTCAAGCTCTTCCCATCTAGTAAGCATCATTTTTGCTAAAGGAGACGAAGGTAAGGTATTTAATCTTTTATCTTCGTCGTTATCGCTAATTTAAATGCAAGATAATAGGTTTTGTCTGATTCGAAAGCGTTTTTCTTTTGTAAGGATTTGAAGATCGATTGAATACGAAAGGTCCGCGAATATAGCAAGATCTCTTTCTTGAATTTCTTTTAACGCAGCTTCTTCGTTTGCAATTGCGTCTCGAAAAGAAATCAAATCAATATTATTAGCTTCTAGTTCTTTTGCTATAAATTGCTTTTCGCGGTCTCGAATAAAGACTTCTCGTTCGAGTGGAATGTGTATAGGAATCTCTCGACCTTATTGCTTATACGCTTCGTTTAACTATTTCTTTCGCTCTTTTTCGGCTTTCCGATCAAGAACTCCTTGATTATAACGATCGTTTCGAATTTTAATCGTTGCTAACTTGAGTTTAGCGTTCGTTATTTTAAGATTAGCTTCTTGCTTTTTTATCTTTATAACCTTGACTTTTTCGAGTGCTTTAGAAGCTAGTATATTCTTTCCCGTTTGCAAACTCGACTTTCTAATCAGCTTTTTCCGATGTGTATCGCGCTGAAGCTTTTGATTTTTATCGAGTTCTGCTTGATCAAGGCTTCTTCGTAACAACCAAGTCTCGGTACTTTGTTTCGCGATATCGAAGCGTTAGCGGCTAAAAGAAGAAAGAGCTATTTTGATCTTATCGTTTAGATCGTCGAGTTGCTTTACGCAATCTTGAAAAGATTAAAGAGGTCGAGGTAGCGCAAGAAGAAGTAATTCGTCAGGTTGCTTATCGATTGAAAAAGAATATTCATCTTCTTCAAGATCAAACGTTTCTCCGTACTCGAGTATATGCAATCCCGCCTTTTTCTTACTCTTTTTATTATACTCTTTCAATTTGCGTTGAATTTAAGAAAAGCTGATCGGCCACATTCTTGCATCTCGAAAAGCGTGTTTGATATTCCGAGTTGTAAAGGTTTACTCGCGAATTTGAAAAAGGTCTTGCATAAACGATAAGATAATATATTTAGCTTCGAAGCCTCGAATAGCATCTATAATAGCACATTATTGATTATGTTTCCAAGTGCGAAAGCAGCCGACATCGAGAGGTTGTAAAAGATAAGTTTGATGAAAAAAGAATTTGATAAGCTATATACGATTTTGTTTAATTAATAGAATGAAATTTAAAGCTTCGTAGCAAAGCTGACTATCAAGTAATAATATCATCCACGGTTTATCGGGTCCTTGATCGGTATGCTTAATAAAGTGCTTAAGCCACTTTATAGTAATCTTATCGTTTGTATAACCGGATTCGGAAACAATAACAACTTCATGTCTAATCATCTTTTCGGAAAACTAAGACGTTATAATTTGCTTTCCGAGCATAATAATCATTAAAAGAATAGCTTTTTTATCGGCAAGAATAGCTTCGATCATAGTTACGGATAGTCGATTTTCACAGATTCTTATATACATCTTTTTGATTCCGATAAGTACGATAACTTCTTTTCCGACCGGCATACAAATCCGCGCGCTTTTCTCATCTATATTTGCGATTCTATGCTTATCTTTAAGCTTAATTCCGCAGAACTAGATAGCAAGAACAAGCTCGGTATAGAACCAATTGAAAAGAGATTTCTCGGTATGCATATCAACGCAATAAGATGCGATTAGTTTGGTCCGTATAGCATAGAGTTCTGCTGTATTTCTCAACTAAGATTGAAACTAACGCTAAAAAGGTTTTGGCTTATTTTCTTATATTTTAAAGTAGCAAATGCATCGATAAAGCATACGCTTAATAGCTCTTTTCCCTCTTTTAATTGCTTGATCTGCGGCGTAAATCAAAACAGCTTTGTGCTGTGCTGCTAATAGAACTATAAGCCTCCTTACTTATAGCGCTTTCTTTTCTTTCAATCGAGCTTGTTTAGCTTGATACTTATTTTATTTTCGCTTTAAAGTATCAAGCTTCTTTATCATATAAATGCGATTCGCAATAAAAGGTGTTTCGGAAAGGTTTTCGAAAAGCCATTCGAATGCTAGCTATATTCGCTTATGTTAAGAAGCTTTTAAGAGCTTCTAGTATTCAGAATTAAGATCAAGAGGTGCAAGAGCGCGCGCGCGTTTTTTGCCTATTTTTATTTAGGTACGTAAGTCAATGTTTGATGGAAAATGTTATGTTGAAGTGTTGTTAAAGTGTTTACGTTCCCCGCGATTTTTAGCGTTAAAGCGGGACATAATTTTTTCGCGGGACATAATTTTTTCGCCCACTTTAGGGAAGGGCCCCAAAAGTTGCGACGTCAAGGCCCACTATTATATAGTAAATAGAATACAATTTCCTTTGCTGATCGTGCTTGCTACTCGGTTCGAACTGAAGCCATCGGCGTGCGGGACTTGGCGAAGGCTGGTGGCTGGTTGCTGGTTCTCCTCCAGCCCCGGCCAGCCCCGGCCAGCCCCGGCCAGCCCAGCCTTCGCCAAGCGCCAAATCGACCTCACTCCACCCCACCCAAGCTCCTCCATTAAAATCTGCCAAGGTCCGCTCCGTACAACCTCAACAATGTCGCCGTCAACACACCGCCGCCAACACACCGCCGCCAACATTCCCGCCCCTAATCCTACCTGCCCCTACTCCGACTCCCGCCCCCCCGCCCCGCCTGCGATTCTGCACCACGATGTTCCTCCTCTGAGTCCAACCGCTCCAGTAAGGAAGCAAGCCAGCAAGCCAGCAAGCATTACCAACCATCCTCTCGCAGATCACTAATACTGTACTGTCGCCCTGGCACTTCTTCGCCTCCTCGGCCTCCCTCCGCTGCACCTTGAGCTGCACTGAGCTGAGCTGATGGACCCCACTCAGTGATACCCTCGTGCGGATGTCGAGAAAGTCTCACCCTCAACCTCACCCTCAACCTCACCCTTCACCCTCACCCTCACCCTCACCCTCACCCTCACCCTCACCCTCACCCTCACCCTCACCCCCATCTCTCAGCCTCACCCCCTAATCTCAGCCTTACCCACGCTCTCGCTCTCGCTCTCGCCCTCGCCCTTACCCTCGCCCTTACCCTCACTCGCCATGAGCCCTGTGCTGCGAAAGCGCTCTCTCGCAGACATGCAGGAGGGGAAGCGGACGAGCTTGCAGCAGCCGGCCGTCCTCGATGACCAGGACTACGTTCGCGAGGTGCTGCAGCTGGAAGGTCAGACGGAGGCCCTGCTCGATCAACATCTGTTGGAGGAGGCGGAGAGTCTGGGCATCGCAGTGCCGATACCGATACCGATACCGATTTCCACGACACCGGCGGACGGGCACTATGCCACACCCGACTCTCGGTGCGAGTCGGCGAACACTACCCCGTCGCACCACCGGACGGCTTCCTCTGGCTCTCATGGCAGTGCGTCGACGGGTATGACGAGCCGATTCTCGAGTGAACAGTTGGGTGGTTCGACACGAGCAACGCCGCCGCAGCAGCAGGCAAAGAAACGGATATCTGCGAGGAGGAGCCTGTCGTTCTCAGAGTACGAGAAGTACCTGGCACAGCAGCACGAGGCGCTAGAGCACCCGAAGCCGTCCCCGCCTGTACTTTCCGCCCCAGCCCCCTCGCTCTTGTCGGTACCGACGCCAAAATCATTGGCCAGTATCAAGAGTGGGTTCAAGAACCGGTTTGGGTTGCGGAGGACGAAACGTACGCAGTCGGTTCTCAAGTAAGCAGTGCCGGCTGTGGCTTCTCCGAGCATGCACTGACAATCCACTTCTAGTTCCTGCGTATGTTGCCGAGATGATTTCAAGAAGAGCAAATCGCTGCAAAGACTTCCCTGTGGGCATAGCTATTGTGACAATTGTTTGCATATTCTCATTTCCCAAGCCACTGGTGATGAGTCCAAGATGCCGCCTCGATGCTGTACACAAGCTATACCGAGCGCTGTCATCAAGAGCGTCTTGACCACAGAACAGCAACAACTGTTCATGAAAAGTGTCTTGCAATTCAGCACTCCGTGGGAATCGCGGGTTTTCTGCTCAAACACCGCCTGCGGCGAGTTCATCCCCAAAAGAAGCAAGATCGATTCAAAACACCCCTTTGAGGTTAGCTGCCGGGAATGTAGGACGAGAGCTTGCTCGATATGCAGGGGTGCTGCCCATGCTTTTGGCCAAGACTGTCCTGCTGACTGGGAACTCGATGCCGTGCTCCAGATGGGCGAGAAGTCCGGCTGGAGACGATGCTACAAATGTAGAAACTTGGTCGAGCTCACCCAAGGGTGTAGTCACATTACGTGTCGATGCAAGGCTCAATTCTGTTACATATGCGGCGCGGTTTGGGATCCCACGGTCGGATGTCCCAACTATTGCAGTGGCGAGGAGGAATTGGAGAGGAGGCGGCTCGAAGAAGAAGCGCGAGTGGCCGAGGAAGAAGCAGAGAAGGCGGCCAAGGAAGAGGCCGAAAAGGTGGAAGCTGCCGAGAGAGCAGAAGCGGAAAAACGGACATCAGAAAGCGTGGAGCTGAAGGATCTTCGAGCTCGCCAGATCAACGAACGCGATCGTTTCACGGCCTTCGAACGCAAGATGAAATGGATGCTGTGGGCGCGACATGGCCAAGGCAAGATTGACATCTTGGAACGATACGACGAGCTCAGAAAGAAGACGGGGGAACGCCATATTCGAACTGCCGCGCACCTCGAGGATCGCCAGGTAGCGGCTGAGATGGAACTCCGCGCCAGCCTCAAGCAGCAGGAGAGGAGTGTGAGGATTCGATTGCGGCACATGGAAGCTTACTGTGATGGTCTCGGACAGAATACAAATGGCCCAAATCCGGCCAGGGTCGTAACTGAGCGAGATCTGAGGGAGCTGGGCCAGCAGTACAACATCTGGAATGACTTGGAAAGGCTCCACCAGAGTAAAATCAATGTTATGCGCGACAAGCAAGCCAAGCAGATGGAGGACTTACTCCGTCGTCAAGAAGAAGAAATCGAGAGGCTGGGCAGAAAGCAGGATGAAGAAATGGAGGCGCTGGATGAGAAACTCGTGAATGAGGAGGAGGTCTCTGTCGGCATTCTTGAAGCACGCAGACAGAGGCTCCAAAGACGATGGCTGTTGGTCGAAGAAGTCGAGCGCCAGAGATTGGAGCTCGAGAAGAACGTCCGCTTTGCACCCTTGCCTCCCGTCACCTGGCCGCACTTGGAAACGAAAGACGAGGAGGTTGGGTTAGAGGCTGTCGCCGAATGAGAAGGTCATTGGGGGCAGCAGGACACACGGACATGGATTTCAAAGCCATTATGGACCGAGCACGACTCACGAATGTCACGATGTATGATATCTCTCTTCTGGACAGGCATTTTACACCACTCTTGCCACGACTTCATCACGAAGTTGAGATTTTTGGCCTGCATTTATCCACATGTTTGTTTGTAGATTGATCTGGGTTAGCAAGGCGCACTTTGGCGCATACATGGGCAATGGGCATTTCATTGCGTTGGAGTTGGGCAGGGTTGCATAGACTCTTAGATCTGGCTATCTACGATGCTTTACGATAATATAGATCGTAATCACTGGCAGCGAAACTGGGAGCGGGCTGATTTTTGAAGATGGATGGGTTGTAGATAGGAAGATGGGAAGTATGGGCGTGGCTGGGCCAGGCTGGTGGGAGAGAGGAGATTTTGCATTTATATATACCCTGTGTCGGTGGATCAATTCAAGAATTTTACGTGCTGACGAACGTGCTGTGGTGTGGCTATTCTCGCTGCCTGATTTTCCGTCTTTCTTCTTTTTTACAACTTCTTCTAATCTCGGGGTCTTTTTGGGG